TTTACATACTCCTCAATTTAATTGAGTTTTTTTCACATTTTGATCAATTGTCTTAAGGCAATAGTTTGAAGAACTTTGTGATATTCATTTGCTTGGGTTTTTTTAAAAGCAACTCAAGGCTTTTGTTCCAGAGGCAATTTTATTGATATAAGAAAGTTTGCTGATTTGTCGTTATTAAAATTTCTCTAAAATTTTTCAAAATAAATATCACGTTTTTAGTGCTTGTTGAATTTTTTTACCCAATATTTTCAAATCGGTTCTAGTCGAGAGGTCAATTTACGATTTATGCCATTCCTAAATTTCACTTGATTCTATCTATTCGAAATAAATTTTAGTTCAAGTTGTAATAAGATCTATTTCACTCAAACCAATTAACCAATTAAGTTTTTTTATTCCTTGATCATCCAAATATTATATGACGAATTGCAATACTGTCACTACGAGCAAATAATTTCTTGTTTATCAGTTAGAATTTAATTTCCAATAAAAAAACTCCAAATATTAGTAAATATTAAAAATATTAAAAGCTAGGCATTTTTGTCAACACATTTTATATTATTTTCATATTATCTTTACTGCTAGTATAAAATGTGCAATACTCGTCCATTTATTACTCCCATTAATTAAAATAAATTTTAATTAAAATATTAAACGTTGGGAAAAAAACTTTTACGTCAGCTGAACGCATATAACCACTCTGAACTTTTAATTGGCAATATTTTAAAATTATTTATAACATAATAAAACCATGAGCACTACTACTTTAGATAATTAGATTTTTATCTCGTATGCTAAAAATGTATATCAGGAATACAATTGCAATTTATAAAATTTTATTATCTTGTAAAAAGCTATATCAGTTGAAGGTTTTGGACGAATTATCAGATGAAATATAATTATCATTTATACTAAAATTATTTATATTTTTAAGAGATTTTTGGATACTTCTTTAGTATTCGTATTCTACTAAAAAACCTTTCAAATGATACCCCACATGCCATAAAATACTATTAAAATTTTTGAAGTAAAACTTCTTTAGACTCTTCTGCTACAAATTCGCAAACAGTGTATATTTTGTGGACAAATCACATAGTTATTAGTATTCGCTACAAAAGTTTTACAGCTCACATATTTAAAAAAAAATCTGTTATTTTATAGTTACTAGTTCTATTCTTCGAAGAATTTTGCTTAATGTACATTCTTCCTAGAATTATTCAATTCTGTGATTGAAATCTTTTCGCTTGAAATATTGATTTTTTGTGACAACCATAAAACTATTTCTTATTAAATATTAGCCAATACATAATTTCGTTTTTCAAAGACAGGTGTGGTCATAGATATCGCCCACTAAAAAAAATGTATTTATTTTGTGTATATTTTAAGATAAGATAAAAAATGCCAAGTAATAGCGTGGAGTTATTTATGAGGAACAAAAATACTCATAGACTTTATGAAAAAAAATCTATTTAAAAAATCAACCAATTTCTCCTTATTATATCTCTGAAAGAATAAAAGATACGTATAAAGGTTTACAAATGAAAATTCAAGGTCTTTTTCTGACTAATTATTGCTTTTTATTATTTTTCTGTTACACAAATATTGATAGAGTTATGATTGTTTAAAAGAGTGCACGGCTGTCCAACCAGAGTGAGATGTCAAAACTAGCTGTAAGTGGAATTCTGTCTTAAGGCAATTAAGGCATCGTGCCTTCAGGCAAATTGCTGGAACTTCCCGTACCAAAAATTATTAGTTTTTTTTAACGATTAACATTTTTGAAAAAATTTTACTTTGAAAAAATTAGATTTTTGAGAAACTATAAATTTGACAAAAAATTACTTTATTTTGAAAAAAATTTTTTAAAAAAACAATTTTTTTTTTAATTTTTTTTTTTTTGAAAATTTTTTTTTTTTATTTTGACATATTGTGGAAGATCTGAACTTTCTTTTCAAAGCAATCAATCGTACTGCTTTAACTGCATAGGGACAAAATATAAAGCGCGTAAGCGCCGCGTCGCTGTCTAAAGCATAAGCATTGGTACGGAACCCATAGGAATGTAACCAAATTTATACTTATTGTTAAAATCTCTATAAAATATCTGATATTTTATGAGCATATGTCTAATGATCATTTTTGACCGCCAAATGGCTCATTTTGTACTTTTTCCTCCATATCTCCGAATCCGCTAGACCTACCTTATGAAAATTTGATCGGTTCTTTACCTTGTCAATACAAGTAAAATGTTTTTTGAATTATTAAAATCGGACGCTCCGTTCTCTTAAAAACTGAGTTACCGTTTTCGACACTTTTTGCCCCGTATCTTTGGAACGGCTGGACCTGCCTTCGCCAAAAACTAATCAGCATGTCTCCTTATCAATACGAATCGAATGTTCTTTGAAATATTCAAATCGGTTGATCCGTGTTCCCGAAATCGTCGACGAAAATTTGTATCCGCACATACATACACACACGTACATACATACACACACACACACACACACACACACGCACATACATCCATTTTTCTAAGGTATGCCAAAATATTCAGAAACCTTTGAAACGTCGAGAAATGCAAAAATTTTCATTTTCGATTTTTTTGCGATTACTATTACTTGCCCTACGGGAAGTTAATAAGAGAAGTTTATTTAAATTTTTAAGCAAAATTTCTCAATTTTTTTTTTTTGAGAATACTAGAAAGACTTATGACTTTCAAACCAAAATATTTGAAAAATATTTTTCTAAAACAATTGTAATAAGGCCTTTGATCAGCGAACTAAAAGCAATTAGTCATAGTACAAAGAGAAAAATTAATCCATTTATGAATTTATTATGAAATCCGGTGACATTTTTACGAAATCCATTAATAGTTTTCTGAAGAATCATCATCTCGCAAAAACCGCTAAATAATCGGTTTATAGTAGGTACTTACTAATTTAAAATCATGAATCACGTTCATCGTAGGAGTGAATCACATGATCACAACATGAACTGACTCATACTGTTTTATTATATGTAGTTTGAAATGAGAGATCAATCACCTGCATCGGATAATTGATTATTGCTCGATGTATGTACACATACGTACATAGTAACAGAAGTTTTTTTTACTATTTGGGGCTTAGAAATTTTGTTTTCGAATTCTATTCAAGAAGACCTTTCAAATGATACCCCACATGCCATAAAAGATACGTAAAAGAATTTTGAAGTAAAACTCCTTTACACTCATCTGCTACAAATTCGTAAAAAGTGTGGACAAATGGCATAGTTATTAAAGAAGTTTATTCAAAAAATTTAAATTGTGTTTTTTTTGCAAGTTTGGGTGTCGTTTGAAAGGTTCTTTTGACGATGATGATGTTTATCCACTTTTAATGAATTTGTAGCGAACGAGCTTAAAGAAGTTTTACTTCAAAAATTTTAAAATGTGTTTTTTGGCATATTGGGTACCGTTTGAAAGGTTTTTTTGAATAGAATCCGAATACTAAAATTAACTATGAAGTTTATCTACTTTTAATGGATTTGTAGTAAACGAGCTTAAAGAAGTTTTACTTCAAAAATTTCAGATTGTATCTTTTATGGCATGTTGGGTATCGTTTAAAAGGTCTCGACGAGTAGAATACGATTTTCACAAAACCGTGATTGTATTGTAATAAAAACTAAAGTAAAAACGGTATTGTAAGAAATGAAAATGTTATATTTTATTGCAAAAAATATTAGAATTTTAAAACTCACTGATTATTTTCTTCAAATATGTCAAGTGTGCTACTTATGTAGCAAATACTAAAACTAACCATGTGATTTGTCCACAAAATATACACTTTTTACGAATTTGTAGCAGAGGAGTCTAAAGAAGTTTTACTTCAAATATTTTATGATTGCTAGTATTATGGCATGTGGGGTATCATTTGAAAGGTCTTTTTGAATAGAATCCGAATACAGAAATGAGTTTCCAAATTTCTAAAAACTGAAAATTTTTACACTTTTGTGCAAATTACAAAGAAACGGCTCCTTGAGATGTCCGCATTTTTTCACGTTTTCGAGCGCGCGGATCAATCGATTTGAATGGTTTAAAAATATTCAATCCCTATTGATTGGTAGAAGAAGTAATTAGTTTTTGGCAAAGCAGGTCCAGCTGTTACGGAGATACAGAGCAAAGAGTGCAGAAAATACAAATCGTGTTTTTGAGAGAACGGAGTATCAGATCTGAATGATCTAAAAAAACATTCAATTTGTAATGATTGGGAGAAGAAGTGGTTATTAATTTTTGGCAAAGATAGGTCCCGCCATTACGAAGATACAGAGCTAAATGTGCAAAAAATGGCAATTTGTAAAAAACTTTCTGTTTGTATTGACAAAACAATTACTTTTCAGGATAAAAAATTATTACATCTTTTTTAATTTTCCATAAAATATTTTTGTAATTTTGGATTAAAAATTCAAAAAATTACCCAGGCTAAGCACAGTCTAAGCGCCACTCTGGTACAAACGTTTACCCAAGTGCGTTTAGACTGTTTATGTACTGGAGAACTTTTTCAATTTTGTGAAAACTATTGAAAAATTCGAAAATGCCGCCAAGCTAAGCACAGTATAAGTGAAAATGTCGCACTGAATTATTTGCAAATGCGTTTAGACTGTGACTATGCGGGAGCACTTTTTCAATTTTGTGCAAATTAGGCAACTATTTTTGTTTTTGAAATTGAATTCGAAATGAAATGACGATTGTTAATGTTCTGGAGATAAATAGATTTATTTATAATTTACATTTGATTTGCTCAGATATAACAAACAAGATAGCAAAAATAATGAAAGTTACTACAGTATTTGTAATAATATATTTGAAAACGTTTAAAATTTCTCGAACATTTTGTTACGATTCCAGCAATTTGCCTTAAGGCACGTTGCCATACACCACTAGTTTTTATTCTCTGACGACGCAACAAGTAGACTATTGATTTCCTTAAAATTGAATTAACAAATATGATTCTTTTTCCCTCTTCAGATGGAGGTAGCAACAAATCGTCATCAGGCACGCCTCCAAATCTGGCGGCGCCTTCAACATCGAACGCAAGTACAAACGGTGTCGCCTCTTTGACCGAATTGTGTGCCCGCTGCGTCGCCTCACATATCCCTTTCGAACTGGTTGAAAGAGTGTTTCCTCCGGTTCCGGAACAACTGCAGCTAAGGATCGCCTTCTGGTCTTTTCCTGATAACGAGGAAGACATCAGGCTGTATTCGTGTTTGGCCAACGGCAGCGCCGACGAATTCCAGAGAGGAGACAACTTGTTTCGGATCAAGGCGGTTAAGGATCCTCTCCAAATAGGTAATAATAATAATAATATATATCTTATATATAAAAATGGAGCTCTCTTTCAAATGTCTAAGTAAAACTCGAAAACGGCTAAACCGATTTGGCCACTCTTAGTCTTGAAAAATTTGTGCCAATCCAGAGATGGTCGGATAGGTGAGATATTATTTCAAAATCGCGTAGAAACTTTACATTTTTAATTTGAACATTTTTGTAGAAGCCTAAATTGAATAAAACAATGGACGGTGGCTAATACTTCAAATGTCAAACGTTTTTCAATTGATGTTAAACGTTTTTCAAGATGATGTTCAATTGCGGTTAATAGGATGTTTCACGTGAATATTATTTGATTATGATTAAATTGTAGTAAGTAGTTTTGTTTGTAGTTTTATTTATATACAAAAACGTTAGTAAACGAGCCGCAAGTGTTACTAGAGACTCAAAATATCAACTTTTTTGAAATGTTAATTTAAAAATGCACTTTTTGGCATATTTTTCTCAAGCACGGTGCTCTGAAAGATCTCATTTGTATAATTTGGTATATATGAAACATTTTCTAGGTTACATTATGTTTTATTTATCTTATTTAAATTCAGAACCTAAATTTGGTATCGATCAAAGGGACATTTTGTCGAATAACATTTTCCAAGTTATATTTTCCCAGAATTTATTGAAGAATAAATAGTAATATATGAAGCTCCGGGGTTAAAAAAATCCACCATCGATGTGTCAAAAACCAGTAAAGTTAAGCATTGTTTAACAACAATATTTGAAAGTAGAGGGAAAAAGATGTATAACCAGCTATAACCTTGATTCCCATGACTTTGCTGTCGGGCGATAAACGGTAATCTTTGAAAATCCATAATAAAAGTATTGTCTTCTGTTGCTAGTTTTTTTAACATTAGTTAAAAGTGTAATTATTTTGTAAAATACCTCTAAAATTAAAATAAGACATTAAACCTAGGTGTTTGCAGTTTGCCACCTGGCCGTTCTAAGGTACCCCGCCTATAGGACAAAAAGCTCTAGGTAACAAACTTTTAAAAGACATCAAAAAAGCATATTTCTACAATGATGAAGTAGTTGGTAGTTTTACTGAACGTAGTCAGATAATTGTTCGTTTTTAATGTGTTATTTATTGTGATATTGGTTTGGTTTTTATAATATAGTTTATATTTGCTCAAAGTCAAATTGGACTTTTGTGCCTCGCCCTGTTCTACATATATATTTCATATTAAATTTACTTTAATTCATCAAATGTTACTTGAAACTTTTTAAAAAGCAGGCCAGAGAAGAAATACTTAATTTATTTTCTATCTCTCATCGCAGAAATTTGAAAAATTTTTATAAACTTAGTAGTATTATTTATAATTATACACAAAATCCAGAATCCAAAAAGAATCTGAAAAACTTGAAACGTAATCAATAAAATCGAAAGACCAAAAGAAACTTGGATTGGATTATATAGATTTCTATAGAAAGTATATAAAACTTCCATTTTGATTGTGTTGACAAAATATAGACAAACTAATGGGGTTTGTTGTTTTTATAATTCCTCATTGTATATAGCATTCAAACAACACATCCTTATACACTAAAAGTATTAATTTTTTTGAGGCTCCAGAAATTGTTTAGAATATACCTTACTTAGCAAAACAACGTTTGCCGGGTCAGCTAGTATAATATATATTATTTCAATATAATTCTAAATATTACGACGTATCAAAAAATCTATCACGTGATTAATGGACGCCCCCTAAGATTGTAACAAATGATTTGTATTAATTTAATATTTTTTCAAGGTTTTCATCTCTCGGCTACCGTCAATTCGGTTCAACCCAGAGGACAGTTTAACGTTGCCGTGACTTTTGATCGACGGAGAATTTCATCCTGCAATTGTACATGCACATCCCTCGCTTACTGGTGTTCTCACATCGTTGCAGTATGTTTGCATCGTATTCATTGTGTAAGTACAGACAGAAATTATAAACCAGAGTCGATTTCTTTATATTATTTATTTCTTTTCCTTTCCAGCCAAATCAAGTTTGTCTCCGCGCCCCCGTATCGGAGTCTCTCCAACAGCTTCAAAGAGACCAGTTACAAAAGTTTGCTCAGTATTTAATAAGCGAGTTACCTCAACAAATTTTGCCGACTGCTCAAAGACTTTTAGATGAATTGCTCAGCTCCCAACCGACAAAAATTAATACAGTTTGTGGCGCGCCAGACCCGACGGCAGGTGCTAGTGCCAGTGATCAAACGTCTTGGTATCTGGATACCAAAACCTTGCATGATAATATTAAAAAGATCTTGATCAAATTCTGTGTTCCTGCTCCTATAGTTTTTAGTGACGTGAATTATTTGAGTACCACAGCGCCTCCGGCCGCTGCTGAATGGAGCAGCTTGCTCAGGCCTCTGAGAGGCAGAGAGCCTGAGGGAATGTGGAATCTTTTGTCTATTGTTAGGGAAATGTTTAAAAGAACTGATAGGAATGCTATACCGTTATTAGATATTATAACTGAGGAATGTATGGCTTGTGATCAGATTTTAGTGTGGTGGTTTAGCACACGGGTGGCTTTGATGTCTGCGGTTTCTGGAGGCGGAGGTAGTCACGGCGGAGGCGGTGGACATTCCGGCAGAGGCGGTCAATCATCCAACAGCAATGGTGGTGCACATTCAAATGCTCACGCGTCTCAACACGCATGTAGTTCCTTATGTGATGAAATCGTTGTTTTATGGAGATTGGCCGCTCAGAATCCAGCCTTAGCGCCCAAGGAACGAGAAATGCTCAAAGCTCAATTTATCAAATGGCATTTAAGAATCTTGGATAAAGTTGTCAAAGCTCGTGGTTCCAGTACAACAACCACCACAAGCTCTCACAAATTATCAGCAAGTCACCACCATAACAACAGTCACCATCATAACCATCACCACCACCATCATCATCATGGAAGCAGTGGAAGTGGTAGCAGACCTTTATCAGACTTAGAGGTTTTCACTGGATTTAAACCTGCGATTGAAGCTTGTCATCTTGATTGGGATGATTATCCAATTCCTGGGGTGACACATAGTGCTGACACGAATCCTGTATACCATTGTCCTTTTACTTGTTTCAAAAAGCCTGCAGATTCTGGGAAGGGTGATGTTAATCAAGTGAATTCAAGCCAAGTTGTGCTTAGTAATCAGCATCCACAAGATCACTATAGGCATAATCATCCAAAGTCTTTGGGAAGGATGGATTTGCAACAGTGGAGGCACCATCAACCATGCAATACTTTCAGAGGTAAGTGTTAATTAACTTTCCTTGCTATAAGTTATTGTAATTGTTCAAAAATCGAAATCAATTTTTTTTAAATGCTTTTATTCATCCCAGACTGGTCTTTTGTCTGGGTATGTCGGACTCAATACCGTCTGTGTATAATACCGACTAAAACCTCAGCTGGGGGGAGGATCTAGAATGTTATCATTTTTGCACTGAAATTATACTTATCTTTTAAATGAGCGAAGTCCCATTTGCCCTTTCTCTTTCCATAGATCGCAGGTCAATTAGCACTTCTCTTGCAAATCTGCGTGTGTGTGTATGTATGTATGTATGTATGTATGGATAGACAATTTTTCGTCCACGTTTTCGGGCGCTCAGATCAACCGATTTGAATGGTTTAAAAAACATTCGATCCCTATTGATAGGGAGATGTGCTGATTAGTTTTTGAAAAATGCAGGTCCAGTCGTTTGGGAGATGCGGAGCAAAGAGTGCAGAAAACAGAAATTGAGTTTTTGAGAGAACGGAGCATCCGATTTCAATGATCTAAAAAACGTTCAATTTGTAATGATTGGGGAGAGGAGGTGATTAGTTTTTGGCAAAGGCAGGCCCAACCGTTTCGGAGATTTGGAACTAAATGTGCAAAAATTGCAGTTTTTTGGAGAAATAAGCATGCGATTTGAATGATTCTATAAACTTTCTGCTTGTGCTGACAAAATGATTACTTTTGGAAAAAAAATTTTACTAATTTTTATTTTCATTTCCAAAAAAATTTTTTTTGAATATCGAAAATAATTCGGATTTTAATTTTACATCTAGTTAAAGTTCTAAAGCTCACTTATATTCTTGAAATAACTTCAACTTTGCAATTCAGTTTATATAATTCTTATAAATATGAGATAAGGTCCTAATTCAAATCAATTATAATTCCGCTTGATAAAGTTAATTATTTACTTTTTTGTAAACATATATAAGTTACAGTATTTATAATAATATATTCGAAACCATTTATTATTTCTCAAATACTTCATTACGGTACGGGAAGTTCCAGCAATTTGCCTTAAGGCACGATGCCATACACCACTAGTTTTAATTTCGTTTAATAATAGTAAATGGCTTTCTGCCTAAAGGATTTGTCAATTATACCTTTTTCTCTGTTGTTTATTATTCTTATTGCTGTTTTATTATCATAATTCGCCTTTTTTATGGATTTCCTCTGTATATTTCCTGGTCCTGTGCTTTGACTTTCAGTTCCCTGTATTTTCTCTTATTGCCTAAGTTATCAACCAACAACATTCTTTTTTGTCAATTCTTTTAGACCTTCTATTTTATCTTCAATCCAGTTTATCATATTCATGGACCGATTCTGCCGCATAACAGACCAATGTTATGGCAAGGCTATGTTACGAAGAACTTTCTATACTAAATATTGACAAAAGCCATGCGGTTGCTCTGCAGTTAAGCGTATTTCTCAGGTTGTCAGATAGAAAACCTAACCCAGAAACCGCACAAATGTCAAAAGAAACGATGTTAGACAACAGGGTCTTTCTGACTCAGCTTCATAACATACGATTGACGTTGCAGTTTATGCGTAAAACGCCTCAATGCACAGCAAATACATGACATTTTGACAGTATGATTCAGTAGCATAATCTATGCAAGTTGGAGCGTAACATGGCCTTGCCATAACATTTGTCTGTTGTGCGGCAGAGTCGGCCCATCAATATACATTTTAATTTAATTTCTACTTTCAGGATTTTCAGAAGCACGCCCCACACACTCGATCCCCTCAACCAGCACCGGTGCAAACATCGCCTGTAGTTCTACTTCCTCGGCACTACCAGCATCTGCATCAAGCACACTGCCATCAGGCTCTCTATCCTATCACCATCATCCTAACGATGGTAATCGATCCAGTGTGTCCAGTGAAGGTTTCTGCGAAAACGATGATGGCACAGATTCACCAGGATGCGGAGGAATTGCTACAAACAATGAAAGTGCGGTGACCAGTGGCAGCAGTAATAGTTCTGCTAATAATAGTAGCGATTCGAATAGCAGTGCTAGTTGTGAGAGAACTGCTGGGGCTAGATTATTGAAAACTAGAGAGAGTCTGATGAAAAATTTGGATAGGAGCGGAGGCGGTGGAAGCAGTTCAGATGATAGTGATAGGTAATAGAAATATATTTTATTTAATTACTAGCAAAACCGACGAACTCCGTTTCGCCACCAGATGGCTTCATGAGAAAGATGAAGAAATTTATTGTTAAGTAAAAAAATTGATTTTATTGCACAACAGTAATGAATTTATTTCGATTACAAAAGTGAAGTGTTTTTTAGTTGAACTTCTCTAAGTAAATGAAAGTGAATCCGCAAATTATCCCTTTCATTGAAGTGCTCTTTGGTAAACCACATTTTTTGTTTTTTGGTCTGACGTTAACACAAACAAAGCGGATGGGTTTTCCAACTCGTGAACCGGCAACGTATAACTGCCCATGTGAAAAACAATGATTTTCTAAATGGCACGATGCCATGCAGCACCAATTTTCTTAGCTATAAACCTCACGGAGCCGAGACCTTTCCAACGAATGCAAAATTGTCGAAATCGCTTTGTGCGTTCTGGAGTTAAATCGTCAGGAAGGAAAACCCAACTTATTTTTACATATATGTAGATTACTAACTGTTATGTTATTATTTTTTATTTATTTTAGCAATAAGAGATACGCTCGTCCAGTGGCTAGTACCAGTGGAGCCGGATCAAACCATTCGAACAAATCAGCAGGGAGTTCATCAAAGGATGAATCTGATAACAATAGCAATAATAAACATCCTGAACTGACCAGGAGAGATAGCAAGGATGATAGTGTGTCTAGTTCAGAATCACAAATGTCTGGTAAGTTGATACACTTTATCATTGTATTTATTAGTGCCTTTTTATACCAACTCGCCAGAGGGTAATTTGTAGTAAGTTATAGTAATCTTCACGCTTTAAAGGTTTCTGAACGAAAAAATTGTGTGTGTGTGTGTGTATGTGTGTTCGGATACAATCTTTCGTCGACGATTTTGGGAACACTGTTTAACCGATTTGAATCATTCAATTAGCATTCGATTCCTATTGATAAGGAAACGTGCTGATTAATTATTGGCAAAGGCAGGTCTAGCCGTTCCGAAGATACGAGGCAAAAAGTGCCAAAAACGGTAACTCAGTTTTTAAGAGAACGGAGCGTCCGATTTTAATAATTCAAAGAACATTTTACTTGTATTGACAAGATGAAGAACTGATTAAATTTTTGGAAAAAGTCAGGCCTAGCGGTTTTGGAGATCTAATAAAAAAGTAAAACAAATGCCTTATGACAGTCAAAAATTATCATTAGACATATGCACATCAAATTATCAGATGTTTTATGGAGATTCTAATAATACGTATGGGGGCGCTCATTAATCACGTGATCGATTTTTTTAAGGATTTTTGGATCCTTCCTCCTCCTTGGTGATACGTGGTCATATCAAAATTAGTGTCCTTCCCCCAACAAATATCACTTGTATTTTTAGTTACGACAAAAAATTGTAAATTTTTTGTTTTTTTTTTGAAAATATTTAGATTAAAAAAATACTAGGAAAAAATAAATACATGTGACATCTTACATTACCCCTCCCTCCCCCATGTGATATTTTGTGATTTTTCAATCACCCCCCTTTCCCTAAAAACCTGACGTGATTAATGGAAAAAATTGTAAAATTTTTGATTTTTTTTGAAAATGTTTAGATTTTTTAAAAAAATGATGATTTTAAAAATTATGATTTTTGTCAAACCCCCCTTTCCCCTAAAAACCTGTCGTGATTAATGGCCGGCCCCTTACGAGAAAAAATTGTAAAATTTTTGATTTTTTGAGATTTTTTTAAAAATAATTTAAAAAATGGTGATTTTTGTCAAACACTCCATTCTCCTCGAAACCTTATGTGATTAATGGACGCTCCCTATGAATTTTGTTCACATTTTTATGGGTTCCGTAACATCGTTTATCCGCTAGACCGCGACGCCGCGCTTACGCGCTTCCATATTTCGTCTCTATTCAGCAGAAGCAGCGCAATTTTTTTTTTGAAAAAAGTTCAATATTTCCATAATATTAAAAAAATCGAAATTTTTTAGTCTTTTCCTCCGAAAAAATCAATTTTTTCGAAAATTTTAAATTTTTCAAAAGTCTAATTTTGTCAAAGTTTGAAAAAACAATCTAATCTCATTACTTTCAATATCTAATGATCTGGTAATTTGTTTATAATGTATAGTTTATACATACACGTTTGTCATACAGATTTATCATTTAATCAGAGTTTGAAAGTTATTAGAAATAAATGGTATTCAATTATTGGAAACCTGTGCTCCCAAATAGTGTACCAATTTAACACTACTCACTAGAAAAGTATCAACTATCTATATAAAAAATTTAATCTTTTTAAAAAAAGAAAAACAATTTTTAGTACGGGAAGTTCCAGCAATTTGCGTTAATGCACGATGCCGTGCACCACTTAGTTATTATATTACTTTTCTTTCCCATAGGTGATGAGTACAGTCATTATTACTATGACCCCAAAGCATTGCAGTCCGTACAGAGTACAGCAGGCACCTCCAAAGACAAGACAATGGATCAGCAACTAAAAGATATCTTCAACAATATCAAAATGAGTGATGACGCATGGGAAATTTTATTCGCCCGTGCAGAAGGTTTGCATGCTCACGGGCATGGACGAGAAGCATGCATCCTTGGTGTTAAATTGGCAGAAGAACTGCTAGCAAATCCTCCCGATTTGATGGTCGAAATTCCGCAAATACAAAGGAAGAAAGGCAAGAAGCACCATATAAATCCCGCTTCACATCAATTGAGTGTCTTAGCATCGGCCACATTAGCAAAATGTGCTTTTCTTTGCACTGTGTTAGCTGAAAACCAAGAACACTCGCTTTTGGCTTTCAAAGTTGGTCTTTTTGGATTGGAGTTACCACGTCCGCCAGCTAGCACTAAGCCTTTGGAAGTAAAACTAGCAAATCAAGAGTCTGATCTAGTGAATTTGTTGAAGCGTATAACGTTAGGCCCTGTAGAGTTGTCAATAACCCGGGAACGTGCTAAGCAGTTAAAAGAAGGTACTTTACGATCAAGGGGAGAAGCTTTGCTGCCAATTATGCTGGCAAGCTTTATTTTTGAAGCACTTAGTAATGGTAAGAGCAAAAATGTTTTTCCATGGCTACCTACTGATGAAGCCCTAGGATTTGAGGCAGCAGTGGCAGCATTAGGCCTAAAAGCGAATGTTAGCGAAGCCGATCATCCTTTACTATGTGAAGGCACCAGAAGGCAACGCGGAGACCTCGCGTTAGTTCTTCTCAACCACTACAAACAAGAGCCTAATAAGATAGCAAGAATTATGGATAAGCTTTTAGATAGGGAAATACATCAATTAATTAAAACACCTATTTTAAGTTCATATTACTCAAGCAATCCACCCATAAGAAGTCGTTTGTTTTCCATGCGCCAACGAGAGGAACACAACGACCAATTCGTTCCGCACATGTACTCATGGGAAATGCAACAACTACCACAACAACCGTCGAGACCTCATAGTTCAACCAGTGCCGAACTTGACAACGTTGGCATGTGCAATTTATCAATTAGTGGAACCAGCGCGCCAACCAGTCAAGTCACAACAAGTCAAATTACTTCGACGAGGAGCAAAGAGTCGAGGTACAAGGGAAAACGTGCGTATCCTTCTATACCCAACCAGCCTTCGGAAGCGAGTGCGCATTTTATGTTCGAGTTGGCTAAAAGTGTGTTGACTAAGGCAGGAGGCAATAGTAGTACCTCGTTGTTTACACAAGCATCGACTACACAGAATCATCATGGGCCGCACAGGGCTTTGCATATGTGTGCATTTCAATTGGGCCTGTACGCGCTTGGATTGCATAATTGTGTTAGCTCCAACTGGCTGTCCAGGACGTACTCTTCGCATGTTAGCTGGATCATTGGTAAGAAAGAAAATTTATCATTTTTATTTTACTTTTGGGTTATTCTTTTACAAATCGTACGGATTTTGGGCTAAAAAATATGACATTTTAGAATTGTCTGAAAATTTGTTTACAGATACTATTCATAAAATCATTTGGCACGTATTTCATGATTTTGCTTTGAATTTTTTTTTAAGAAATTATTACCGATTTGACTATATTTTTGATTATATATTCAATTTTTCCTTAAAAAAATTAACTATTTTTGAAACAAAAAAGCGGAAAAAAATGCCGCGCTCGAAATTGATATATGAGTACAGGCGCATGAGTTTCCTAACGAATGCAGAGTGGATAGCGCGGCTAGCGCTCAAAAATATTTAATATCTTTGGTTCTAACTGCGCCTCCAACATCATATAAAGAGATTTTGTAGAAGAGAGTAAAAGAAAAATTATGTTGTTTATTTCAATCGATTCGTGTTGGGGAAAGGCTATGTAAATCCTATGTTAAAAATAGACTGCTTTTATTAACAAATATATGCAAAAACATTTTTTTTTCAATCAACGGAAAGTTGAATTCAAAATGAGTACAATAAAAAAAAATCATACTGATCTGTTCACTACAACTGGAGATATTAAGATTAATGCAGAGGAATGCCATCAAAATTGAACAAATATCCAAATTTCAATTGTTAATATTCTCAAAATCCTGAAATACGCGTGAAATGATTTTATGAATAGTATCTGTAAACAAATTTTCAGACAATTCTAAAATGTCAAGGTTAATTGGTGTTCGGTTTGTAAAAGAATGATACTTTTACTAGATGTTGTCCTGTACTCATGTCTACAATTTTTTAATATAATATACTAATATTTACCGTTTACCTAAAAATAATAAGTATTGTTTTTTAAATTACTCTTCACGCCAAAATGCATTTTACATATACATTTATAATATGAGCGATGTTAAATGTAGAACTGCTTTAAATAAAATGATGAGTCTCAATTCCCACACGATATTGGAAATTGAAGTCTTTTAAACGGTATAATATAACTATAACCACAACATAACACTGGTACTTCATGTTGGATTAAATTAATTTAATTTTTTATTATTTAAAATATCCAAAATTGCATCTTTAACTTTTCCTAATCGATATCGTGAGGGACGAATTGTATATATTCATCTTTACTTTCCCATTTGTTGTTATAAAGTGAAATTCGCACAAATTTTAATAATATTGTGGAAAGATTAATAAAGGATGCAAAGAAATTATATATTGAAAAATAAAACTATATTGAAAATTTAATATCCGAATCTTGTGTTGGCGCCCCCTAAGGCGTGCACTCGTATTTTTCGCATGCATAACATTAAATGTAGGACCGGCCCTGATTAAAATTTAATTTCATATTTTAAGTGAATTAATTTGTCAAATCCTGTTCATATGTGTATCATTCAATCTGCCATACATTACTGTATTTTATATTATTTTAATTTCTGGCACATCTCAGCTGCTTTTTGGCAATAATAATGTACACATTTTATTTTTCTTATTCATAATCATAAATTTATGATACAATATTCTAATATTGTCTAAGTTCATAAGCAAATTGAAATTTTTGGCAGATGACAGTTTTCGTTTGTTTTCAATGCAAGCAATGACATGCCGTTTTTTTACAATTTTTTCCATTTATTTATACAGTATTGCACATACATCCCAGTGCTTTATAATCACATATATCCTAGAAAATTTCATCAACTATTAATCCGCATAATCGTTACAGTGAGTGCTTGTAATTTAATATGAACTTTATATAATAGCAATAAAGCTCAAATCGATTCTATGTTTTAGTTAAAAAAAACGTTTGTATGTGAAAAAGAAAAAGGCTTTTTTTAGGATTCTCCCGACAATTATTCGATTTTTTCTCGCCGTAACAACCATCTTTGGACTTCAACGAACATTTTAAAAAAAGAATTGGCCAAATTGGTCCAGGCGTTGTTGAGTTATGCGCTTACCAACACATTTTGCGATTTATTTTTATATATAAGACTATTGTATTCATATATTTTTTACACTAGGACAAGCAATGGAGATCGGAGCTCCCGCCATATCATTTCTGATTGATACATGGGAAGGACATTTGACGCCGCCCGAGGCAGTAACAATTGCAGATCGTGCTTCACAGAATTGCGATGCTAATATGGTTAGAGCTGCCGCCGAATTGGCATTATCCTGTTTACCTCATGCCCAGGCTCTCAATCCGAATGAAATACAAAGAGCTATTTTACAATGCAAGGAACAAAGCGATGTTATGCTGGAAAGGGCTTGCGTTACAGTAGAAAGTGTTGCTAAAGGTAAAAATACTATTGAAATTTAAAGTGTGGACTGTTTATAAATTTTGTTTTGTTTCAGGCGGTGGAGTTTATCCTGAAGTATTATTCCAAGTTGCAAGATACTGGTATGATTTATATGTTATATTGGCTCCTGGAGACGCTCCACACCAGGGTCATGCACCTAATCCTGATGATGTAATGTGTGCAGGCATCGCACCTCTTGGAGCAGGGGATTCTCTGGTTGCATTGGTCGTTGAACCTACACCGCAGGTAAGTAAAATGTTAAATTATTACATTTTAATAGACGGACAACAATATTATTGCAATTTATATTTGTCAGTTTTTTATAACTGCATAATTAACTTCCCGTAGGGTAGTTATAGTAATGGGCCGAAAATCGAAAATGAAAATTTTTGCATTTCTCGACGCTTTGAAGGTTTCTGAACATTTTACTGGCATACCTCAGAAAAAATGGATGTGTGTGTGTGTGTTTTGTATGTCCGCATTTTTTCCACGTTTTCGGGCGCATGGATCAACCGATTTGAATAGTTCAAAAAACATTCGTTTTTTGTTGATAGGGAGACATGCTGATTAGTTTTTGGCAAAGGTAGGTCCAGCCGTTACGGAGATACGGAGCAAAGAATGCAGAAAATACATATAGAGTTTTATGAGAGAACGGAGTATCCGATTTGAATGATTTAAAAAACATTAAATTTGTAATGATTGCGAGAAGAAGTGATTAGTTTTTGACAAAGACAGGTCTCGCCAATTCGAAGATACAGACCCAAATGTGCAAAAAATGGCAGTTTTTGAGTGAACTAAGCGTTCGATTTGAATGATCTAAAAAACTTTCTGCTTGTATTGACAAAACAATTGCTTTTGAGGATAAAAAATTATTACATCTTTTTATATTTTCCATAACATATTTTTGTAATTTTGGATTCAAAAATTCAAAAAATTACCCAAGCTAAGCACAATCTAAGCGCCACTCTGGTGCAAATGTTTACCCAAGTGCGTTTAGACTGTTTATATACCGGAGCACTTTCCCAATTTTGTGAAAACAAAGCTATTGAAAAATATGAAAATGCCGCCACGTTAAGCACAGTACAAGTGAAAATGTCGTACAGAATTATTTGAAAATGCGTTTAGACTGTGACTGTACGGGAGCACTTTTTCAATTTTGTGTAAATTAGGCAACAATTTTTTTTTGTTGAAATTGAATTCGAAATGAAATGACGATCGTTAATGTTCTGGAGATAAATTGATTGATTTATGATTTACATTTGAATTCAACTTCTTAGGTTGGCGATGTATAAATTAGTAAAATAGAATTTTATTTTTGAAGTAAAACTTCTTAAGTCGCGATGTGATATAGAGTCTGTTTTGATTAAACGTAAAATAGACAAAAGTATATAGTGAGAAAATCAGAGAGAAATATATAAAACACTAGTGCGAAAAAGAGCAACATATACCTGACAGTGTAGAGTGACAGAGTAATTTATATGAGTACGATGTGACCACCAAATGTAAGCAACTACCTTTTTAAATGTAAATTTTTGATAAAAGGACAAGAGATACCAATTTTTGTTGTTAATAGAAATTGTAGATAATTTAATTGGCTATAAATTTGCTGAATATTGCAAAATGGTGGGACATTTCGTTTTGAAGTTATAAATAAATAAATAAAAATCGAGCTGGTCCAAAAGTGTGAAGCAGGATATACTGATGCAACCTCCAAAATTTAACAACCTGTTTCACTGCAAATTTTGGGTAAAAGGATATGAGATAAAACATTTTGTTATTAACAAAAGTTGTAGATAATTTAATTGGCTAAAAATTTGTTGGATATTGCAAAACAATCGGACAATTTGTTCAGAAGTTATAAACAAATACATAAAAATCGAACCGGTCCAAAAGTACAAAACGAGATATATTAAAATGTAGCCTCCTCAATTTAACAACAATCATTTTAGTTCTTATAAATGCCGCCAAGCTAAGCATAGTACAAGTGAAAATGTCGCACAGAATTATTTGCAAATGCGTTTAGACTGTGACTGTACGGGAGCACTTTTTCAATTTTGTGTAAATGCAACTATTTTTGTTTTGAAATTCGAAATGAAATGACGATTGTTAATGTTCTGGAGATAAATTGATTAATGATTTACATTTGATTTGCTCAGATATAACAAGATAGCAAAAATAATGAAAGTTACTTCAGTATTTGTAATATATAATTTGAATTGAAATATTTTGAATATTTTATTACGGTACGGGAAGTTCCAGCAATTTGCCTTAAGGCACGATGCCATACACCACTAGTTTTTTTAATCAAAATGCATATGTCTATTTTTTAGGATCTCATTCCAATGGCACAACTACAACAACCACCGCCCATGGTGACAACGTCTGCCCCAGTAGTTTCTTCTCAACAGCAGCAGCAGATGGTAGCGCAGCCAATGCCACTAGCAATGCCTCCTTCCACATCTGGTATGCCACAGCAACCTATACCAGTGTCGGTGGTACAACAGCAGCAGCAGCAACAACAACAAGTAGTTGTGAACCAAGTATCTCTACCACTGCCTTTGCCCATGCCGGTTCCTCCGCCTGTTCAGCAGGCTGGACAGAATGGAGGAGCAGGAGTTCCCGGAGGCGTCGTGGTTACTGGTGCGCCGCCAATGCCGCCGCCGGGGGCACATATGCAATACGCGCCTAGTCCTGGTGAGATAGAAAATGAACTTTACAATTGCTATATAACATTTTTATATAATTATTACTAGTTGACCCGACAGACGTTGTCCTGTACCCATGTCTACAATTTTTAACTTCCCGAAGGAGAAGTTTATGTTTTCATCAAAAAATCCGACTCACTAATTTTATGTTTTCTCCTGGACGTTCTAAGAGACATTCTGAATCGAATGAGACTAAATTTGGAAAAAGTATGTGTGCGCGCGTGTGTGTGTATGTATGTGTGTGTGTATGTATGTGTGTGTGTATGTATGTGTGTGTGTGTGTGCGTGTGCACCAACAGATTTTTCGCCGTAAATCGACGTTTTCTCAAAAACGACTGGACCGATTTCAAAAATTTAGAAGCCATTTGATGTATCTCGATGAGGACTAGCGTTTCTAAGCTTTGTGCGACGATCGGCCGGGCCGTGTTTTTTTTTGTAAATCGCAGAAAAGTGAAAAAATTTTTGTCTACGTTTTAGCCCGCAATTCTGAATCAATTTTGAAAATTCAAAAACCGTTCGATAGATATTGATTGGGAATCGTGCTGATTAGTTTTTGGTAAAGATCGGCCGGGCCGTTTTCTTGTAATAAAGTTTTTTTAAAAAAAAAAATCGACGATTTTTTTTAATTTTTTTTGACGGTAGATACCATAGTCTTGTAGACCATACTAAAATATTACGGCCCTACCACAAGTCGTTTAATTTTGAAAAATCGTCAAAGTTTGCAAAAATTAGTGTCGTTTCTCTGACATTTGACAAAATTAAACCTTTCATCGACGTTTTCTGAAAAATGCCTGAATCGATTTCATAAATTTAAAAACCATTTTATGTATCTTAATAAGGACTATCGTTTGTCAGTTATGTGAGACGATCTGTCAAACCATTTCTTTGTAATTTGAAAAGAAGTGTTAAACTTTTCGTCCACATTTAAGCTCATCCTACCGAACCGATTTTAAAAAATCAAAAACTGTTCGAAAGATATTAATTGGGAATGATACTGATTAGTTTTAGATGAAAATCTACCGAGCAGTTTTCTTGTAATTAACTGTTGAAAAAAAAATTAAGCCGATTTTCATGGAACTTTTTTGGCGATATATATCATGGTGTTATAGAACTTACTGAAATATCATGGCCTTACGACAAGTAGTTTAATTTTAAAAATTAATCAAAGATTAAGAAAATGAGTAGTTTTTTTTTGTCATTTGTTAAAATTAAAATTAGACGATTTTTTTGGTATAACGATAGAGTACTTGGGTTTAATGAACATAGTAAACCATTAAAGTCCCATGGAAACTGGTTCAATTACAAAAACTGGTGATTTTTAAAAATTTGCTATTAGAAAATACTCTGAGTCAAAGTGTTCGTTCGTTTTCAATCATATGTAATAAATCCACTCGGAATACTTATAATCACTCACAAATTAAATTATTTTTTATTGATTAAGTCGATTAATTACACATTTCGGGAAGTTCATGTAACTTGCCTCAAGGCTAAATACCAAACCAACTAGTTTAATATCCAATACTAATATTTACACCGTTCAGTTAAAAATAATAATTATTGTTTTTCAAATTACTATTTACACAAATATGAGTGATGTTAAATGTAGAACTGTTTCAGATAAAATTATGATTCTCAATTCCCACAGTTAACACTTTAATTATCCCTTTAACAAATATTAAAATATGTTCAATAAAATTGTATATTAAAAATTGTACACTGCAATTAATAGCACAAATTTATTTCCAATAGCTCAATTCATTTTAATACCATGGGTTATCCAATAATTTTAGTCATACCTGTAGATGTGGATGTATAAATGAATGATTTTTTGTTTATTCACCACTAAAACATTGATTTTCCAAACTTATCACACCAAAAATCGTCTGCCTTTGTGATTTATAGCATAAGATATACGTACTAGAAGTTGAAGTCTTTTAAAAGGTATAGCATATTCAGAAAGAATTAATATATAGCATTCGCGGTATAGGTATAATATCACCTTGAATTTTTCTACCAAAAATAATTGCTTCAAAAATGTCGCCTATAATTTTTAAAATTTCGTACCATATAAGGTTGTCAAATATCTCCCTTCCGCCTTTTTGTATTATAAACCAAGAGCAAAAAAGCGGAAGGGAGATATTTGACAACCTAATATTTTAACTCGCTTTTAGTAATTTTAATATCTAAATTACATTTTTCTCACGAATAATTCAGTATACATTATTACTTAAGTTTATATTTGAAGTGAATTAATTTGTCAAATCCTGTTCACATGTGCTCTATTCAACAAAATTATTGCAGAAAATAGAGAGGAAAAAAACGTGTGCTCTGCGATTTTTTTTACTATGCTACAAGTTGCTTGATGTTTTGGAAATAGGCTAATCTTAATCTTAAGTTTAGAAGTGAAAACAACTTGCACTCCTTCATCACTCCCGGCATTATTTGGATTATAACTCTTTTAATTCTGATTTTATCAGAACTTGTAATATACTATTTTAAGGGTAATTAAATGACCTACAACTTTCTCTATCATCAATTTTACTGTAACTTCTCTTATTTTAAGGGGTTAAAGGGCTTGAAAGACACTCTGGTTTACAGCCGCGCACTCTTTAAACAATTATAACTTTATCAATATTTGTGTAACAAAAAAATAATAAAAAGCAATAATTAGTCAGAAAAAACCCTTGAATTTCAGAGATATAATAATGAGAAATTGGTTGTTTTTTTTTAATGAGTTGCTTGAAAATCGTTTGTACTAAAGTTCAGGTATTTTCTAGAATCCATCAAGATCTCTTAAACCAAGTTAATTCTAGATGGAAAACGATTATTTTTAATTTTGGTGGAAATGGCAGTCATAAACTATTTGATTTAAATGAAAAAAAAAACATTGTATGCGTCTTTTGCATGATAGCTCGATTATTTTACACGCAGAAGTACTCATTTTAAAGCTTATTTTGAGCACTCCAAAAACCCATTTTCATATCTAGCTTAATATTGTTCCTAGAGCACTGTAAAATAGCGATTTATTAGGATTTTAATTGATATAATTTTGTTCATTACATGATTTTCGTTAAAATGTATATTTCTGAAGATATTAGCAAACAACGCTTTTAATTTTTCTTTAACGTTTAGTTAAAAAATAATAATCTGTCAAATTTAATTTAAATATAGGGTATGTAATTACATTGAGCTGACATTTCACAAACGTGAGATGCATGCGCAGAACTGCATCACTTGTCAGACGCATGTTGACTTTATTTTATTATGTTATTTTAATTTTTGACACATATCAGCTGCTTTTCGGCATTATTAATGTAGATATTACATTTTCCTCATTCATAATCATAAATATATTATATTTTAATATTGTCTTAGCCTATAAGTGAATGGAAATGTTTGGCAAATGACAGTCTTCATTTGTTTTAATGACAAACCAAGCCTTAAATATTTTCAAGGTCGAACAAGGATAAGCGTTTTTTTGTAATTTTTTTCATTTATTTCTACAATCTAATTATATTTCTATGAATCTAAAAATTCTAGAAAATTTCCCGAACAAACTTCAGGAAGATTCATGAAAATTCGAATTATAGTTTAGGAGGATTAACCGTTCATACATAGTTACAGAAGAATTTTATATGTAAGATATATTCAAATGTTTGTTCTTTTTGTAGGTGTTGTGACACCTTACGCTGCAGCTGCAGCTGCAGCGGCCTTGTATCATAATCCTCAATTAGCAGCAGCGGTAGCTGCTCATCACCATCATCAGCAGCAACAGCAGCACCAACAGCAACAGCATCAACACCAGCAACATCAAATGGCTTTGCACCATCACCATCAGCAGCACCAGCAGCACGTTGCTTTCCATGCTCATCAGCAGCAACAGGCACAGCAACCACCACCACAGGTATGATATATTTACATATATGTACATATAAGGGGGCGTTCATTAATCATGTGAGCGATTTTATAGATATAGTGGTTATATTTTCCCCGCACTCAAAAAAAATTGTAAAATTTGTGAATTATTTTTTGAAAAATTTTAGATTTTTTTTTTTCAAATTGAGGTAAAAAATAAATACACTTGATATTTTACTAGACCCCGACTTCCCTACGTAATATTTCGTGATTTTTTGTGAAACCTTTCCTTCACCATTAGAGCTCACGTGATTAACCCTTTAACTTACAATTTAGATTCGAAAATGTCGGACCAAAGTTGTTCAAGCTGGCGCGGCGCTTTCGACTATTTTAGCTCATAGTGTACGGTTTATCACAAAAATAAAAATAATTTTGTGTTTTATAGTTTCGTATGAATAAATATTTTATAATACTTGCGTTCACCATAGCGGGCCATGTCCGTAATGCGTAATATTTGCTTCTAGCCCGAATATCGTACGCGGGTTATGCCCGTAATATTCACTTTTGGCCCAGCAAACGTACGCGGGCTCTGCTCGTCAATTTAAGTCAAGGGGTTAATGGACGCCCCCTAAATATGATTTTGAGATAAATGAATGTTCATAATATTTTCTTATTTTATTATAGGTGTATCATCTGCAGCAAGCAAGGCAATTCCAGTATCCGCCGCCTCCCATGCAACAGTACGTGCCGCCAATTCAATACTACAGGTAAACAACTTACATTTAGTTTAATTGTATTTTTAACTTGCCGTAGGGTAGTCATAGTAAGGGGCCGAAAATCGAAAAATGAAAATTTTTGCATTTCTCGACGTTTTGAAGGTTTCTGAAGATTTTACTGGCATACCTCAGAAAAAATGAATGGTTTAAAAAACCAAAAGTGTGTGTGTTTGTTTTGTATGTCCGCATTTTTTCGTCCACGTTTTCGGGCTCACGGATCAACCGATTTGAATGGTTTAAAAAACATTCGATTCCTATTGATAGGGAGATGTGCTAATTAGTTTTTGGCAAAGGCAGGTCCAGCCGATTAGGAGATACGGAGCAAAGAGTGCAGAAAATACAAATCGAGTTTTTGTGAGAACGGAGCATCCGATTTGAATGATCTAAAAAACATTCAATTAGTAATGATTGGGAGAAGCGTTTATTAGTTTTTTGGCAAAGGCAGGCCCAGCCATTTCGAAGATTCGGAGCTAAATATGTAAAAATGGCAGTTTTTGAGAGAACTAAGCGTCCGATTTAAATGATTCAAAGAACTCTCTGCTTGTCTTAACAAAATAATTGATTTTGGAAAAAAAATTTTTTGTTTCAACTTTTTTTTTTCAAAAAAAAATTTTTTTATATATCGAAAATAATTCAGATTTTATTTTTAATTCTGACTATAGTTCTAATATACTTTAAACAAATAATTTCAACTTTGCAATTCAGTTTATATAATTCTTATAAATATTAGACAATGTTACAATATTAATAATAATCTATTTGAAAACATTCTGTATTCCTCGAACATTTTGTTACGGTACGGGAAGTTCCAGCAATTTGCCTTAAAGCACGATGCCATACACCCTACTAGTTTGGATTTATTCAGGATAAATCCATTGTTATCACTTACAGAAATTACGGAAATACAATGTACAATTCTAATTAACGTGCCGTATAGTTCTAACAAGAATTCACAAAAAAATCAGCCAAGTACAAGTACAAAACAGATTTCCTAAACGAAAATATTCCTGATAATGTTTTAGAAAGATGACAGGGCGTACAAAATCAGACAAAAACGTAAAAAATGCGTGTACACAAAATACACTCTAAGAAAAAAAACGTAAAAAAATGGATAAAACAGAAACATTTTTCATATGTATTTCTAAACTCTTAAGCTAGCATTAACTCCTCATTCCATACTTAAAAATCTAGATTTTGCATGACCGGTCGCGGTAGGAATAGCAAACATTATGACATGTCGCTAGGAATAGTATTAATTGCATATTTTTTCACATCTATAAACCTTATCTTGTTTATTTTTCCAGCACTCCTGTCCTACGACCAGCTCTCCCCTACCAACCCCAGCAGGCTGGTCAACCACAAGGGACGCCCGGCTTACTAGCATTGCCTTCTCTGCCCCCGCCGCCTGGTGCACAAAATTTGCGCCCAGGACAAATGCCAGGATCTCAACAACCTCCTACACCTAATAATAGAGCTCGTAATGGTCTCACACCTGGGTCATCGAATGTGCCTCCTCCGCAATACCCGCATGCGCAGCTGAGACATCTGTTGGCTGCGTACAGAGTTGGAATGCTGGCTTTGGAGACGCTTGCTAGAAGGGTACACGATGATAGGCCACAAGCAAAGTATGCCAGAAATCCACCTTATGGGGAAGATGTCAAGTGGTTGTTGAGGGTCTCTAAAAGATTGGGTGAGTAAAGGAATCTGTCATAAATAAAATTTAGCTATGATTTATATATATATATATATATATTATATATATTATATATATATATATATATAAATCTCGTTTCACGATATTGGTTCGCGATGGACGCCCAAACTACTGAACCGATTTTAAATTTTATTGGCTCATCGTGTGCGTATATATCCAACTTAGGTTATAGGAAATTTTGAAAAGTAAATTTGAAATATAAATATATAATTTTTATAAATTTCTAAAAATTTTGACAGAAAATGATCAAAAAAAAAACAAAACACTAAAATGACAAATGTCAAAATTTAAGGAAATTTCGATATCAAATTTTTGAAAAAAAAATTTGACATTTCAAAAAATAAAATTCAAAAACAAGTACATATATAGAAATATCCAACATTTAAATCCAAATCCACTGTTTATAGTTTTAAATCTAATTGAAAATCAAAGCTTAAAAATTTGAATAAATGTTGACATGTAAAAAAATTAAATGTCATTTGTCAATATTTTTGAAAATAATTATATAAATAATTTCACGATTTAGAATTAATTGATTAGCTTACCAAATTATTTCGGGAACCAAAACTTTATCAAAACATTATAGATCAGAGATCACAAGAAAAAAGCGGCATATTGAATTTAAAATTAATCATAAACAAAATTTTGAAATTCACAAAAAAATGTTTAACGACTTACTTCAATAAGAAGCAAATAAATTAATTATTTCAAGTTAGGTTATGGGCAATATTGCCAAGCAAATTATAAATACAAAACATTATTGTAAAATAAATATTATCATATTATATTAATTTTGGACCAAGAAGGAAATATTTTGACATTTATAAATTTAGTGCATATTGGATATATGAAATTGACATTCACTATTTTTCAATTAAATGCAAATGTAAAAAATCAAATATTTATATAAAAAATTGTATATTTAGATAAAGATATTGCGTTGATTTACCCTAAAATTTAATTTATTCTTTAATTTAAAAAAATTGACATAAACAAAATTAAATTAAACAAAACACTATGATGCGTTGGAATTATTTATCGGAGTGTAAAGAAATTTGTGTAATTAAAATATAATATTATTATTAATATATCAGTTGAGATATATTTTGATTGTCATCGCAAATGCTAATCTTACAGGGAATTGTAACCTCCTAAATTGAATAGTACAATCTGAGGGTATCATTGGAATCTGACAAAAACAAACTAGACAAACTAAATATTATATTAAATTTTGACCGAAAAGAAAATATTTTGACAGTTATAATTAACTTGAAATAAAATGCAAATGTCAAAAATCAGATCTTTATGTAAAAAAATATTTATTTCCACAATGTTCCTGTGTTGATTTAGCCAAACTTATGAATTTAACAATTATATAATTATTCATTGATGACTTAAAATAATTATTAATTTATCAACAAATAAATAATATTTGAAAGAAAATTTTATTGACATATATGACATGACAAAAGTATAATAAACAAAAAACTATGATGCGAGTGAATTAATTTTTGAAGTATGAAATGTCAAATAATTTTGCAAATTATAACAAGTTTTTAACTATTTGTTAAAGAATCAGAGTCCAAATATATTAAATATTTGATTTTTGGCACTTTTATTAATTTTTTTATCAATTTAGGCATATTTTTTATGGCAAAACAACGTTTGCGGGGTTTGCTAGTATATATATATACCCTAGTGATTTTTTGTCAATCCCTCCGCCCCCTAATGTTAAACTGTTTTTAATTTTTAGGTACACAGTATCTTCAACAGTTTTGTGTATGCGTCGTGAATTCTATTGTATCTCCGTTTGTTTTACACGATGTAGCCCTGGAGGCAGCACACTACTTGTCGAGAAATAATCCTGGACTTATCATGCAACACTTGAGGTAAAAATTGTGGCATTTTATAGATAGATAGATACTTTATTCAAATTCAATATTTACAATTTAAGTCAATACAATTATTATTTTTATCACAATACTATAATATAACTAAACTAATATCAGTTATGTTTATGAACAACTCTAAGATTAACCTAATGACAATTAATATTTATATTGGATTAAAAAATTCATTAATTGAATTTTATATTTTATATATTTTAAAACAAAAATGTCATGATATAACATACTATTTTATTATATCTTGTTTTTGATCTTCATACAATAAATCAAATCTATGGAATATAAAATTAAATTACATTAAATTATATTTCTAATAATTTGTCTAAAGATTTGTCTTTAGCGTTTGTTTGGACTATAAAGTCATTGATCACATATTTATCATTTGTAGTAATCAAAACCAGATCCTGATTTATTGAAATAGTTTTTAAATTTTGATAAAACAAATATCAGCCATAAAGAACTAAATAACAGCAATAAAAGATTCTTTAATTTTTCCTTAATTTTTTGTCATTTATTTTTTAGATCTGCATTGACGCCCCTCGTTCAGAAGTGCCAACAAATGTACATCCAATGTATGCACCAGAAACTGTACCATTTAACATTGGACGACTATGAAGATTTTGTGGCTGTCGTCTGTGCTGCCAGGCAAGCCTTCCATATTACTCCCGAAGGCAATGCGCAGTTCAAAGAGTGGCTTCAATCTATTCGAAGGTGAGAATATTTGATATAAACAATAATCTATATTAATAAACCCAACCTTACAGATGGTAGAATTTAATTTGAACCCAACCTTATTGATGAGAGAGTTTTATATGAACTCAACCTCATTGACCTTTTACCGACGAGGGAATTTTATATGAACCCAACCTTACTGACGGTAGAATTTAATGTGAACCCAACTAGGGAATGCAATACCGATGGAAAATTTCAATACCGGTATTTCGGTAATTTTTCATTTTAAAACCGGAATACCGGTAAATCACCGGTATTTTTATTATCTTAAACAAACGTAAATAAAATTGAAAGCTACTATTACAAATATAAAAAAAAATGTATATTCAACTACAACTATATTCAACTAAACAATAAAATAAAACAATAAGTTTATTTTTTTAAATAATAATTTAACAATATTATATCCAATTTAATTAATTCATTATCACTATCAAGTATATTCAGCACTTTTCACCAAAAACAAACGTATGAGTAAGATAGACCAAAAACTCATAAAAGATCATATTACATTATTATAATAAACTGTATTGTCTGTATCTGATGTGTTAAATTAGCATAAACTTCAATATTTTAAAAAAAAATTCTACACTTATTTAAGATCGAATTCTTTGTCGAGATAAATAATAAGTTACTATAATTGTTGAGTATTGTTATTTAAAACAATATGATGCTTCTATAGTATTTTCAAACTTCGAAACGTTTTCGAAAAATAATATTTTATAATTGTAATAAGAAGCAAAAATATTTAGTAATTATCATAATTAATATGTATAAAGTCAGAAAAAAATGATTACACAGGGGTAATCTGTATGATATAAAATATTTTGGCGCAAATATCACTTAAAAAACCGTTACATTTTTACAAAAAATAAAACAAACAGTCAATCAGTCCAATTCTATTTATTGCAACACGCTATGAAGCCCTTAGTAAAGCAATAAATATTCAGTTTAATGACGAGTTGAGATAATATTTGACATTTGTTTATCTTAGAGAATCACTTGAAGATATAGCTGTTTATGCGATTATGGAATTTAAACATAAATTTGTTCCGAGAAATTTAAACTTTAGGGTATTATGTATCAAATAGCGCTTATGTAAAAATACCGAAAATACCGATATTTTTGGAATAAGTACCGGTAAAAATACCGCCGAAAAATCGGGCGGTTTACCGGTAATTCAGTATACCGGTATACCGGTATTGCATTCCCTGAACCCAACCTTACTGACGAGAGAATTTTATATGAACCCAACCTTACTGACAGTAGAATTTAATGTGAGCTTTAGATTTTTGACACGACCTTATATGATTCCTACCAGATTCTTATAAGCAGGGCCGGACCTGCCTTGCATGCGATGCATGCAAAAAATGCGGGCGCACGTCTTAGGGGGCGCCAAAACGAGTCGGAAATCGAAAATTAAATTTATAATATTTATGTTTTTTCATATAAAATCTAGAATTATTTATTTAAAATCTAGAATACTTAATAAATTATAATACATAATTTTACTTAACTATGGATACGGAGATACAAAAAGCATATTTATTTTGCAATGTGATATCAGTAGAAACAATTAACCGATTAATAATTCTGCAAATTAGTAAATAACAGCTCTGTTTATTGCCTAATCTACTTATTCAATTTTTTCTTTGTTTGAAGTTACCGTGGAATCGAAAAAAAAAAATTATCTAGTGTTCAATCCCATAAGCGCAAACCTGCGAAAGATTAAATTAATTGTTGGGAATTATTGACGAAAAATTGCGAGCTGATTTAGTTGAAACGGAACTTGTTAAAAAATATAAACAAATTATAAAAAATGGGGAGTCAGTGCTTAGAAAATGACTTTTATTCCGAGAAATTGAATTGTAACTTTTGCTTTTGTTGCAAATGTTTTGCATCTGTTGAAGTTTGAATGTTGAAGACATGCGTGGAACAAATATGAAAAATCGAAGCAAAATTTACTTTGGAACGAAAATCTTAAAGCTTGTTATATACCTAGTCCATACTCTAAATTTAATAATTATTAACTATACAGAATTAATACATATCAAATATAATAAGTTTTTTTTCAATATTGTTCAAGAAATGTATAATTTCTTTGCATTTTTACTGATTTTTGAACAATACTTCTAAAATAGGTTAAAAATTTAACTTTGAAAATTATGAAAAATTAAATTAAATTAAAATTTAAAAAATACAACATGAAATACGAGTGTTATGTTTGAAAATGAAATGCTAGTTTTTTTTAAATATTAATATTGCACATACGTAATAATAATTGAAAATTCCAAAATATTTGATTATAATCAACCCCCGAATCGCCACGATTTTCTAAATAAATTTAAAATCAATATATTTTATACGCTTTTAGATTATATCTAATTTTTTGTGCACTGAATCCAGAATAATTAAAAATCAATTTATTTATTTCACTTAATATTTTTGTTAAATTAAAGTTATAGAATTTAAGAAATGCATTTCAGAAAGAGTATTTATTATTTTGATATCAAGATCGTTAAATTTTATAACTTTAATCTAACAAAAATGTTAATTCTTTTGCTATGGTAGTCGAACTTACATCCTTAACCAATTTACTACATATTGAATATTACTAAAATGTGAAATTATGACAGGGACTGTTTTATTTATTGATATCGATAATAATAAATAAATTTAACATTAATATATTTTATACCCTTCTAGATTATATCTAAATTTTTGTGTACTAAATCCAGAATAATTAAAAATAAATTTTTAAAAAATATGTAAATATTTATATAATTTTTAATGATAAATTGTTAAAACAGTTAATATTAATAAGGGTGGGGGGCGCTAGAAAAAAAGTTGCATGCGGGCGCTAAGGACCCCAGGACCGGCCCTGCTTATAAGATTATCACTAAATATGATTGGATTCTTATTACTGCCAGATATTTTTACATGTGTCTTAATTTTCAGATCAAAGTCGTGCAAGAAAGATCTATGGACCCAGATCAACGCAGCTTTACAAGCCAATGGTGGCAAATGACAACGACCGTGCAACAACAATCCAATAGCCATCAACAACAACAACAGCAACAGCAGCAATTGCATAAACGTGACCTCACATTTACCGATTGCATCGACTGCACCTGTCAATGTCAATCCACATGTCAATGTCAGTGTCACCGATGGGAGAACAAATTGTACAGTGAGTGCTCACAACAAGACTGTGAGCTGATGGTAATTTTTTTTATTAACGATGATAAGCAAGGTTAGTCGACCTTATTTCTTAATTTTCTGGTGTCTACTGTTGGAATAAACGGAATGAGATTTTATTTATTTATTATTTATGAAACGTTCGTTTACAAGCAATATCGTACTGAATTTTGACGAGACTTATAATTATTTAATATTGATTAGTAGGAGTAGAAGTCCTTTGGTCCGGCTTGATCGGGATCGACACCTAATAATAATATTTTTTATTTTTACGAAATATTTGATGATTTTTAATTCTTCACAAATTTGTTGAATATTGCATTTTTATTAATAACACAATGTCAGGTCAGATATGGCATGTGGGTACTCGTTTAAAAAGTCTTGATGAGCTCATTCTAAATTTTAAACTCTACTTGTATAATATATTATTTTTGATTTTATTATATTTGATATATATTATTGAATTTTAGTTTCTGTTTGGGAGTTAGTGTTACGAATTTTTGTTTCTCTCTTTTTGAATACGAAGGCTTAAGTTTTGAAAACATGATCACTGTACAGTTAAGTGGTTGAATCTACTTGTAGAGTCCCTTTTTTTTCAAATTTTCAAAAATACCGTCGGAAATCAGTTCGCTCGTCAGTAGAGTCCTTTTTTTCAAATTTGGGTTTGATTGTCAGTAGAGTCTCTTTTTCCTTTAAAATTCATAACAATCTCTTCGGGAATCAGTTTACGCGTCAGTGGGGTTCCTTTTTTAAAAAAAAATTGGGTTTGCTCGTCAGTAGAGTCCCTTTTTTCTTTCAAATTTATAACAATCCCTTCGGAAATAGATCTGCTTGTCAGTAGAGTCCCTTTTTCCTTTCAAATTTATAACAATCCCTTCCGAAATAGGTCTGCTCGCCAGTAGAGTCCCTTTTTCCTTCCAAATTTATAAGAATAACTTCAGAAATCTGCTTGAAATCAAATTCATAACATATCTTCGAAAATCAGTTTGCTCGTCAGTAGAGTCCTTTTTTTTTTACTCTTAAATTTATAAAATTATTTTCAGAAATCAGTTTGCTCATTTTCAGAAATCAGTAGAGTCGTTTTATTCTTTCAAATTTATAAGAATACCTTAGGAAATCAGTTTGCTCGTCAGTAGAGTCCTTTTTTCATTCTAATTTATAACTGTCCTTTTGGGAATGGGTTTACTCGTGACTAGAGTTCTTTTTACCTTTCAAATTTATTCAGAAATCTTCAGAAATTAGTTTGCTCGTCAGTAGAATCCCATTTCCTCTCAAATTTATAAGAATAACTTCAAAAATCAGTTTGCTCGTCAGTAGAGTCCCTTTTTTTTCTTTAAAATTTATAGCAATCCCTTCGGAAATGGGTTTGCTCGTCAGTAGGGTCCCATTTCCTTTCAAATTTATAAGAATAACTTCAGAAATTAGTTTGCTCGTCAGTAGAGTCCCTTTTATTCTTTGAAATTTATAAAAATAACTTCAAAAATCAGTTTGAAATCAAATTTATAAGAATACTCTCGGAAATCGTTTTGCTCGTGAGTAGAGTCCCATTTTCTTTCAAATTTACTGTCGGAAATGAGTTTGCTCGTCAGTAGAGTCCCTTTTCCCTTTGAATTTATAGAAAGAGCCGCTTTTTTGTAATTACTAGTTTTATGAAAAAAAGCTAATTTGTTTCGTAAGGGGCTACGTATTTCATAGAACATACTTTGTTCATGAACTTTAAAACAACACTAGAGTTTCTTTTGTTCTGTTCAAAGTTTGCTCGTCAATAGAGTCCGTTTTTTGGTCAGTAGAGTCCCTTTTTTTCTTTCAAATTTATTTTGCTCGTCAGTAGAGTCCCTTTTTTCTTTGAATTTAATAAAAATAACTTCAGAAATCAATTTGAAATCAAATTTATAAGAATACCTTCAGCAATCGATTTGCTCATCTGTAGAGTCCCATTTTCTTTCAAATTTACTGTCGGAAATGAGTTTGCTCGTCAGTAGAGTCCCTTTTCCCTTTGAATTTATAGAAAGAGCCGCTTTTTTGTAATTACTAGTTTTATGAAAAAAAGCTAATTTGTTTCGTAAGGGGCTACGTATTTCATAGAACATACTTTGTTCATGAACTTTAAAACAACACTAGAGTTTCTTTTGTTCTGTTCAAAGTTTGCTCGTCAATAGAGTCCGTTTTTTGGTCAGTAGAGTCCCTTTTTTTCTTTCAAATTTATTTTGCTCGTCAGTAGAGTCCCTTTTTTCTTTGAATTTAATAAAAATAACTTCAGAAATCAATTTGAAATCAAATTTATAAGAATACCTTCAGCAATCGATTTGCTCATCTGTAGAGTCCCATTTCTTTCAAATTTACCTTCGGAAATGAGTTCGCTCGTCAGTAGGGTCCGTTTTTTCTTTTTGTATTTATAGAAAGAGCCGCTTTTTTTGTAATTCCCAATTAAATGAAAGAAAAGCTAATTTGTTTCGTATGGGACTACGTATTTCGTAGAACATACTTCGTTCATGAACTTTAAAACAACAGTAGAGTTTCTTTTTTCTTTCAAAGTTTGCTCGTCAGTAGTGTCCCTTTTTTATTCTTTGCAATGTATAAAATTAACTTCAGAAATCAATTTGATATCAAATTTATAAGAATACCTTCAGAAATCGGTTTGCTCATCTGTAGAGTCTCATTTTCTTTCAAATTTACTGTCAGAAATGAGTTTGCTCGTCAGTATAATCCCTTTTTTGCTTTCGAATTAATATGAAAAACCGCTTTTTTATAATTACCAATTAAATGAAAAGAATCTAATTTATTACATGAGGGCCTTTTTTCCATTTGTATTTAAAGGCGAGCCACTTTTTTTAAATTATTATTTAAATGAAGAAAGAAACTAATTTGGTTCGGAAGGGTTCTACGTATTTCGTAGAACATACTTTGTTCATGAAACAAGCACCAACCAACTAGCACCATCTGTGATGCGCTGAAAACACTAATACAGAGTTGAGCACATTTGTTGTATTTGTTTTTGAAAAATTGAAATTTTCGAAAAAAACGTCGGATTACCGGTGATTCCGGACTAAAGGACTCCTACGTATATTTCTTTAAGTATTTGCGATTTTGATGTTTGCATCTCTATTTTAAAATTAAACGTGAGCAGGCACTAAAATGGTTGTAATATTGAATAAGTAAATGAATTTTGATTTCATCGCGAAGAAATTCATTCATAAATATTTTTCTTGTAGTTGTATAACGTAGTGTCATATATACATAATGAAAACAGATAGTTATTATTTCATAAAATGATATTTTTTATACACACACGTTTTCATGAACTCACTCTCACCACCACACTACACTCTTATATATATAATGAATTGGTAAGTGAATAAGTGTTTTCGACTTTTATCATATAACTCTACTCGTTTAAGTATTGCATATGTCTAGATATAATAAAGTACAGAAAATATTTTTAACGGTTTAATATTAGAATGATAATACTCAATGTCATGTAGTTCGGCCAACATAATATTGTCAAGCAATTAAGTTAGTTATTTACACATTACACAAATAATCTCGACAAAAAGATTCTTTAGTACAATTATTCCAAGATGATCTCTGTATACAGTTTACTTGTATTCGTAAATTAAGGCGGCAATTCTGCCTCGTAACATAACATTGTCATGGCAACTCTATCTTATGCTTGTTTCTTGGTGCGATCAGGCGTATTTTACATATAAACAAGCAAGGAAGAATCTTATGATAACAGCATCATTGAATCATAACATTCTTTCTTGCTTGTTTATATGTAAAATACACCTGGTCGCACAGCAACTTGATAAACATTTTCACACTTTCACTTACAAGTTGCCATGACAACGCTATTTTATGAGATACAATTACCCGGTAATATTTGTTTGATAATATAATTGTTGCGAAAAGGATTGTCTTTATAACGACAATTTTTTTTTCTATTTTAATAAATACGAGTGCAGCAATACCCCGCTTAACGCGCAACAGCGTTATCTTCATAAGTGCAAAAATGGGTAGAACTTTGGCCATGTAATACCCCACTGTTGTATTTTGGTTTAGAATTTTTAAAAATCGGTTGTTTTTTGTTATTTTGAAAGTTTTCTAATTCAAGAATATAGGCTAGAGCGGGGCTTAAAGGTCCACCATTAAGTTGAGGATATTTTACCAATAACATTTGAAAGTAGAGGGCAAAATATGTATATTCATGTATCATATTATTGTTTGAAAATCAATAACAAAAGTATTGTTAGTTTTTTTGTTTGCAAAGACTTTTATTTAGTTTACGAGACCTTGATGTAATTTTTAAAAATACATTCGGAAATCAGTTTGCTCGTCAGTAGAGTCCCTTTTTCCTTTGAAATTCATAAGTGACGTTGAAAATCGGTTTGCTCGTCCGTAGAGTCCCTTTTTCCTTTGAAATTCATAAAAATGACGTCGAAATCGGCTGTTTTTTGCTATTTTGAAAGCTAATAACTATACAATAATATAGGGTAGAGCGGGGCTCAAAGGTCCACCATCAAGTTGAGAATATTTTGACAAGAATCTTTGAAAGTAGAGGGCAAAAATGGTATATCCAAACATCGCGACACTGTTTGAAAATCAATAACTAAAGTATTGTTAGTTTTTTCGGTTGTGAGCACTGTTGTTTAGTTTACGAGACCTTGATATAATTTTTGAGTATACGTTATTCAATTGTTTTTTAATATGTATTGTCATTTTCAACAGTTTATTACACCTTTATCCTGTCAAAGGCGTAGAAAATTAAAATGAAGTCAGGGAAAGCAATCAAGTTAAATGCATAATTATTCTAAATCTGCTGACAAAATACCAGATCAAGGTTATATACAGTGTTATCTCCGTAGAAAATGCACTCATAAAATTAATATTTCGCATTGATTGAATAATTCAGCTATTATTTTGTAAAATACTTTTGAAATTAAAAAAGGCATGAACC